ATGGAAGGGCAGATAAAGTGCTTCTCAGATAAGATTGATTTCAAGGAGTTCATCACCAGCAAGCCCTTATTATATGAAATGTTAAAGGGACTTACTAAGAAAAAGAAGATAAAAAAGATGAACAGTGAAAAGACAGCAAACTCACAGCTATTAACAACCACACCTAAAACAAAAGCAATCTAAGAGGATAGCTGGATCAGGAGCAGAACCACAGAAATGAAGATCACATGAAGGGTTAGCAACAGGGTTGTGGGAGGAGGAGAAGGGGGGAGAAGGTACAGAGAATAAGTAGCATAGACGGTAGGTAGAGAATAGATGGGGGGTAAGAATAGTAGGGGAAATATAGAATCTAAAGAACTTGAGATATGTGGTCATAAACTAAAGGGGAGGGAATGGTGGGGGAGGGGGTGTGCAGGGTGGAGGGGAATGAAGGGGGAAATAGAACAACTGTAATGGCATAATCAATAAAATATATTTTTAAAAATGGTAGTAGTGTAAATTTCTTTCAAGAGTTTCTCTCTCATATATCATGATTCTTAGTTTCTCTAATGAAAGAGAAATTAGAGAAGTGATCCATAGGTGAGTGTTAATTTTTAAAATCTCACATAACAATATTTTGCTTAAACGTATATTATTTAAAGGAAATTTAAAAGTCAGGGTGACCAAATGATTGGGAAAAAGGAGAAAAACTGTCAGTAGGTCCTTTGTAGAATTTTATTTTTGTGATTCAAGTGCTATTTTGCGTTGAGTATATATTAAACTAATAACAAGTTATTTTAAAATTAAGTTATCAACAACCAACATTGTCAAAGAGTTCTAAACTTTTAATTATATAGCTTTAGCAGGGGTACATTACTGGCTGGTTTCATTGATGTTACAAAGTACCTAATGACCAGTTTTCATGCTGTGAAGCCAATATTGATGATACTTTAGAGTCAGTGTCAGTCAGCTGAAGAAGGGCACCTAGTTAATAATCACCACTCCATGAGACCAGTGTTAGCTACTAAAGGACTAAGGAAGACAATATAATGTATTGCCTTAATTAGAATGATTTTAGAGGGAAAGAGGGCTTATTAATAATTACACTGGAACAATAGGTAGATATAAACCAGGTCTCTTCAGGGTAAACCAGGACAGTTGGTCTCCCAATATTCGGCTGCTAACATTTTAAAGCTAGTTATGTCAGTAAAATATTTGCAATCATTAATAAAAAGATAATTTTGGTAACCCAAAACATTATTTAATTCTCTAGTAGAGGACCTTGATATTTAAAATATCCTTGCCAATATTGTTATAAAACAAATACTCTTAAATTTATCTTTTGTATAAAACTGGATTTTATTATATAGTTAAAAATGTGAACATTAGATAGTGAGAGTAGAGAGATACACAGAACAAATGTTATCTCAAAATACTATTTGAATATTATCTTTTAACATCTTTGTTAAATTATTTTAAATGTACTGGTGAGCATTGCCCTTCCCCCACTACAAGAAAAAGTAACAATTTATTCCTCAAATAAAGCATATAACCATCATTAAATTTTTACTACTTTCCCATTTTATATGTTTACTTTGTCATTAATTTTTCATTTAATTGATGCTTCTCCTATTTCTGAAAGTATTCTAGATGATTTTCAATATAAAATACAGTGCCTTATCATCCTGAACATGAGAGTACAGGAACCTTATAATGCAGGACAGGAAGGGGAGGTTTGCCCATACATACAGCCAAGAGCCAAGGTGCAAGGTAACTTCTCAGTGAACCCAGAGAGCCTTCTACACATTCAAGGTGAAAAGGGACCACAGTGAGGTATAGAGCTCAGATTAAAGATAATCTAGTTTAATAAGAGAGGAATGATGTTTTCTCTAGCATTTATTTATAAAAAATGCATGCCTTTAAAAGGATCAGTGACTAAAAGAATGCCTTACAAGTAGTGTTTACAAAAGATATAGCAATGTACCATACTGATGATAGTCTTAGGAGTACAATAACACAAAGAGTCTACTTTTAAAAAAATTTTTGGTTAGTATTTGAAAATATGTTTGAAAAAATGCCTGTTGCAGTGAATAATGGAACCATGAGTGAGTGCTTCATGTATATAATATGAAAAGCTGTGAGTTCCACATAATATAAATAGTAGTCACATTTACACTTTGGTGCTCCCCATTTTTAAAACATTTTTCTTGTTACAGTTTTTCTCGAATTTTTATCAACCTCATGGATGAAATATGAAGTACTCTCTAACCTTTCAAGATATCTATGTATGCATATGAAGTATGCACTTAAGTAATCAGGGATATATATATGTATCTATTCACATAAATATAAATGTGCCCCTGTGTTCACAATTTCGGTTTCACTCTTCATGCCACTCCTCTCCCAAATTTATAGAGGCTGCACACAGATTCAGAGAGCTATAGACTTTATTTATACTACTGATTTGAATGACAATTAGATGAGTTCCATTCTGTAAACATACACAATACACATACCTATCTTTTCTATAAAAGCAGGGACCATTTAAATTCTTTTTTTTTTTTATTTTTTAAAATTCATTTTTAGTGAGAGAGAGACAGAGAGAGAGAGAAAGGGGTAGCAACATCAATTTATTGTTCTACTTACACATTCATCAGTTGATTCTTGTATGTGCCCTGGTGTATCAGGATGACACTCTAACCAACTGAGCTACCCAGCCAGGGCTAAGCAGGAACCATAAATAAGCAAGTGCTAAGGAACTGATATTTCAGATGTCCTCAAGATGAAAAGAATCTTCAGGTAGAAGGGCCTCACTTAATGTGCTTCAACCTTATTCAGTCTCTATTTAAATACTTCTATCAGGGGGTTTACTGGCTTGCAGACACATGTTCTATATTTGGAATATTTAGTTTTTATTAAGATGGAGTTCAACTTCTGGCCAAGATGGAGGTGTAGGTGGAAACGCTGTGCCTCCTCATACAACCAAGTTTAAAGACAACAAAGTTTTAGTAACAAAAATGCAGCCAAAACACAGAAAATTGAACTGTATGGAAGTCCGACAACAACAAACCAGCCAGACTAGTAAGAGGGGCAGAGTCAGCAGCAGAGCAGGGTCAGGCAGGAAAGATGGGTGGACCGACCCACTTATTTGAACAAATAATAAAGGAGAACTTCCCCATTCTGGCAAGGGCAGTAGACTTCCAGGAAACCCAGGAAGCTCAGAGAGTTCCAAAGAAATTGGACCCAAGAAGGAACACATCAAGGCACATCATAATTACATTAGCCAAGATTAAAATGAAGGAGAGAATCCTAGAAGCAACAAGAGATAAGGGGACAGTCACCTACAAAGGAGTTCCCATCAGACTGTCGGCTGATTTCTTAAAAGAGACCTTACAGGCAAGAAGAGACTGGAAAGAAGTATTCCAAGTCATGAAATCCAAAGACCTACATCCAAGATTGCTCTATCCAGCAAAGCTTTCATTTAGAATGGAAGGGCAGATAAAGTGCTTCTCAGATAAGATCAAATTCAAGGAGTTCATCACCAGCAAGCCCTTATTATATGAAATGTTAAAGGGACTTATCTAATAAAAAGAAGATAAAAAATATGAACAGTGGAAGGACAACAAACTTACACTTATTAACAATCACACCTGAAACAAAAGCAATTGTTTTGCTAAAACAAAAGCAGTCTAAGAGGACAGCTAGATCAGGAGTGGAACCATAGAAATGGAGATCACATGGAGGGTTAGCAACAGGGGAGTGGGAGGAGAAGTGGGGAGAAGGTACAGAGAATAAGTGGCATAGAAGGTATGTAGAAAATAGACAGGGGGGAGGACAAGAATAGTATGGGAAATATAGAATCTAAAGAACTTGAAACACGTGGACATAAACTAAAGGGGGGATGGTGGGGGTGGGGGTGCAGGGTGGAGGGGAATGAAGGGGGGAAATAGGACATCTGTAATGGCATAATCAATAACATATTTTTTTAAAAGATGGAATTCAGCTCTCTCCAGTTACTATTGTCAACCTCTGATTTTTAGTGAAGTAGTTCCTCAGTTGTTATATGCCATCTTTTCTAGAAACCAAGTTTTAATTTTGTATGAATGTTAGGTTGCTACCTAGAACTAAAAATACTAATTTAAAGTTTCTTTAACCAGGCTAGAAGATCAGAGAAAAAAGATATCTTTTTTATTTTTATTTAGGATACTTATTTATGGCAGATAGCTAATTCATATGGAGTCTACTGAAATTCCTAGATTTTTTTCAGACCAACAATTAAGCCATGGAAATCTTGTGTTGTAATGTTATAAACTTTTGTAAAAGCTTATTGTAATGCTGCATAAGCATTATGTGTGTTCAGCATAAATTTATTATATTTTAACTTTATTTCTATTAGACATAGGCCATTTTTTTCATTATGGGGTAGATTCTACAGTGAGTATTTTTACTCTGAATTTAGGGTTTCTTGATTTAGTTTAAATTTTAAGAAGGTCAATGACTGAAAAAATACAATACATTTTTAAGGTTCTTGATTTTAATGGACCATTTTGCTTTCCAAACATATTTTTCAGTATAATTTTCAATAACTTTTATTACAAATGATAACTTCATTTGGAAAATGAGGGTTTCTTTTTTGATAATTTGCTTCTATAATTTGGGTACCTTACTTTTATTGAGCATGGATTTTAGAAACTATTTGAAGAAGTTTTGTAGAGAAACTATAGAGCAAGAAAATAAAAACTTCAATAAAAGGTCAAGTGTTTTAAAAACAGGTTTGTTCATGAGGCTGTGGGTTTTTTGTTGTTGTTATATTTTGTTCATGCATTTTTGTGCGTGGGAACTAATTTAAAATTAAAGTTTCTGAATCAGTCTCATATGTAAATTTTTCCCTGAAGCTTCAAGAAGATGGCATAAGGTTATTGTATATATCACTTGAGCAGTGTGTTTCAGAGCGGGAGAGTATTCCTGTGCTTCTGCTGCCATTCTCTGTCAGTAGTGAAAACTGCACCTTTGTTTCACAGTTACAGGCCAAATTTGATCACCTCACAAGAGTCCACCAAGAAGAGAGAATGAAGCTTGAGGAAAGGAGAAGACGTTTGGAAGAAGAAATAATCTCTTTCTCTAAAAAGAAAGCTACCTCTGAGATATACCAGAACCAGAGCTTTATGGCAATGGGTAGCAACTTGAAGAAGGACAAAGACCGTAAGAAGTAAGCCATCTTTAACGACCTGTATCTGGTAGCCTCGTCCCCATCACTTGCTGTCTCGTTGCTCTGTTTGATCTTTATAGTGTTTCTCATGGTCTATTTCCTATTTCTTTCCTGCCTTCTGGTTAAATGTCAGCTCCTTGAGAGCAGCGACCTTGTCCTTCTTGTTCACTGCTGCTTCCCTAGCATCTAGAACAGCACCTGGCACACCTTAGGTGCTCATTAAATATTTGGCAAAATGAATAAATGAATGAACTATATAAAAATACATCTCAATATGAAAAGGGTCAGTTACCTGGGGAAAACGTCAGCTGCTCTTGTTTCATAGCCAAGCCTATGGCTCTAATACACATCTAATAACTACTGACCTACCATTAGTTACATTGAATTTTATGTGTAATTGGAAGCTGTACACTTTCTTGTGGAATCGTAGGTGTAAAATAATACTTGATTTAAAAAAGCTAATTCTTAGGTTCACTTTTTTTAAACAAATTCTACTGATAATGATTTTGTGAGAATTTTTATTTTAATAAGGGAACCAGGCTATCGATTCGAACTCCTGTGCTTTGATGTCAGAGCTTGTGAAACCAATGGTGGACGTAAAGATGCAGAGGAAGGTAGAGAGGGTACCAGTACAATGGGGCGGCCATGAGTAGCATTTGGATGATATTCCCAAGGCTTATAGGTTTGGGGTATGTGTTACAATCGAACTTAACCAAAGTTTTAGAAAATAAGTTTTTTTTTCCTTTTTTGTACTTTGTGTCTATTTTATTTCTCCCACTTTAAATGTCCTCATTAATTTGTCTATCTGACTATTCTCATAATTCATCATTGACTTGTTGGGAATGTTTCTTTGTGGGTTTTTGCCTCACTTTACTCCAACAATCTTTGCTCTAGCAGCATCAAGTCCTCCTTATGTTCCTCACAGAGTAATACTTCTGGTTTAATTTCATCACCCAGCTTACCATGTATAATATTTTATACATGGTATAAAATATATATAACATTTTGCCATGTATAATGTGCACTTTTTGGCCAAAACTTTTTAGGGAAAAATAAGGATGTGCATTTTACATGGGTAGTACTAATTCCATATCTAGATAAATGTTTTTAATTATTTTATTTATGCTTATGCCTTAAAAGTGTAACTCTAGTTTTGTAATTACTTGTTACATAAAATTTCTTGTGCCGTAATATATTAAAAAATGCTAAAATTCCTTTATAATATTAAAAAACAGTATCTAAATATAAATAAATAAATAATTGAATTAAAAAATTAAAATGAAAGATTTTTTTTCTGAAAGTTTTGGCCAAAAACAGGGGCATGCATTATACATGAGAGCACATTATACACAACAAAAGTATGGTACTTTAATCCCAGCATTTTCAGAATATTGTAACTCAGTTTCATAATAGTTAGGAAAACATTCAGTTGGTCCAGTAGCTTACCAATTTTGAACTATGGAGAAGTAAATCCACAGGGTTTTGGTGTATTTCATTGACCTGTGGATTTTACAACTTTTGATGGAAGATAGAGGAATTCTCATGAATGATCTTTTAATATAAGCTCCACAAGGGCATGGATTCTGAGTTTTGTTCATGCATGTATCCATCCCCAGAGCCTAGAACAGTGCCTGGTACATATACATAGTGGGGCATCCATTATTTGTCAAGAGAATAATATGACATTTATTCAAATATTGAATTTCAAAAGATAAAACAATAAATGTAATTTATTACTGCTTTTTGTTATGTTTTTGTATTACAAAGCTGCGGGACCTATTACCTTTTTTTTATCTTAATCCAGTGTTAATAAAATTGGATTCCCCCATATTTATTTTATATATGAAAGACAATTTACATTTACCTTGTGGAAATTATCATCCTGCTCCACTTGAGAACCATTGGCATGAGCTGTTGCTGACAAAATTAGGGCCAAGCCCATAGCATTTTGAGAGCCCAGAATTCATCCTTAAGAAAAGAGAGTTTGGTGGTCAGAGGGGTGTGATTCCCTCTCTTTTCAAAGTTCCATAGTTAGATATTCTACAGAATATTAGATGTATATTTGTTCTTTCTGGAAAAGCTTTGTAAAACTAATGATTCTAGTATTTTTTATTTCTTATATGGTTTTATATTGTGCCAATCAAATGTTTTTTTCTCTTTCCAGCTCCAATTTTATGTAAAACAAATGTTCCAGATCACAGAAGGTCATCACAAGCAAAGTTATTAAAATCTTAGAAGTATGTTGTGATTTTTCTTGCTTATTTTATTTTTTCTGTCTGGCAAGTGGCCAAAGTTACTGCCATTTCTGGAAAAATACTTTTAAGTATAAGATCAATATATAAGCCAGAGTGGATGATAGAACTTACATATTCACTGTTAGAAGTTTTTAAGTTGCTGGTTTGTGATAAATCTAGGCCCCTGCTACTGATTTTTGGTCACTTTGCAGAGCATACTACCACAGAACAGTTTCAGTACCATAGAAAATACCAAACTCATCCATGTTATTATGGCTGGCTGATTGCATTCATGTTCCAAGATGAGCCTTTTTCTTATACATACTAAAGGTAAAATTTGGGGAATATGTTTTAAAATGTATTATGTACCCAAAAGTCTAACCTCTTAATAGTTTTATAGAACTTTTTAATTTTTGATATAATTATCTAGTTGGTAACATGACCCTAAGATTTTATATCAAATTTTATATAACATGGTAGTCTTCTGTGGTTCAGTATGCCTTCTTGTGATTGATGCATTTTTGTGGTGAAAAAAAATGTTTGAAAGTAAAAGCATCCAAGTATATAAACCCTTTTTCTAGTGATAAGTACTTTTGAACCTGGGTGTTACGCCAGTGTTTTCTTTGGGATGTTTTATATATTGTTGTTGAGAACTCTGTCTTCAGAGGAAAAATAATAAGATTGAATTATCTTACTAAAAATACTGCTTAAAAATAGCTATGAACATCTGAATACAAAGATATAAAAATTTAGATAATTCATATCAAAAAGGATAATTGAATTCAGTGCCTTAGTAGTATTCTCAGAACAATTAACTTTTCTTAACAGTCATAGGTATACAGTTTTTTGTTTTTGTACTTAAATATTCTAAGTAAAGCTGACATTTACTCTTGACAAAATATACCTACATGTTTACTAAAATATCTTTAAATTACACTAACTTTTCAATTTACAAACTATCAACTTAAGGAATATTTTATCAAAATTAGTCCATTTGATTATATTTGAATTATTTTAAAATAGGTACATTACCAGTGTTTTTCAGTGTTTAACTTAGCCTATGTTAGATTCTGAACAGCATTTTGTTTTGTTTTTTATGAAGCTGTGTAAGTTGCTAATAAAACCTTTCATTTTCGGGTACAATTTATCTTGACAAATACTTTACTTTCCATTTTTACATTTGAAATACACAAATGCCTCTTAGCCTTTTTAAACTGTAGTAAAATAACTTAAAAGGATCACAGAGAAGCTATGCACTTTCTTCTCAGGATCAGTAATGCCCAGGTTCTAGAAGGTGGGGGCAGGAGAGCTGGTAAGCCCCGAGGGCAGGTAGCCTATTGTATAGAGCCCATCCAACGCCACAGCATTGAGCATTAGCAAGCAGAGTCATCCAGGAGGCTCAGTGGTATGATGGCAGTGGTGGTTATTTGTAGGCTTCAAACTCTGTAGCTGTCCTAAACTTTAATAAAGTTACTTTTAATGTTAGATTGGTTGTTGGCATATTCAGACAAAGTTATTCAAATTTCTAATTGAAAAGATTATAGAAAGCTGCCTAAAACTCTGCACTGAACACAAGGGTAAATCACTTTATTAATGACTCTGCTTTGAGAAAGACTCACCATGTGTGCTTCATCCACAATGTGACTCTTTCATTTATTTCCTCTATTTGGGATTCCAGGTATGATTTTATTTTAAAAGAGTTATGCTGCAAATAAAACAATTATAGACAATTGCACAGTAATATTCCAATTCTCCTTACAAAGTGAATTATTATACACTAATGGTTAAATTAATAAACTTCCTGGGAACAAAATAAAGCTAGATATGTTTTCTTTATTATTTTTTCTGATAAGGCATGTGAAACAGAATTTTCTCTCACTACCAACCATTAATCTTTATATATACTATCCTGAATTTTAAAGCTCTTTCACATAGACTATTATTTCAGTTTCAAAATTACACAAAGGAAAAAGCATTACAGGTATTATTAGTATCCCCATCTTGAAGATGAAATTAATTTAGGTCCTGTGTTCTTCTTGGGCTAGAAGGCTATCCATGTCCTTCTGGAGCAACAATAGTAACAAGACAGAGCAGATTTATTCATAGAGTACTCTCAAAGGCACTCCTGCCCCTATTCACAGAGCGCAACAGAGCATCCAGGGAAGTGACTGGGTCTTAAAACATTAGAAATAATTTTTCAAATGCAGGAATGGAGAAAGGCAATTCAGGTATAAGGAATAACATGTTTTTGATAAAATATGTATACTCTGGAAAGTAGATAAATATGAATAGAGAGTCTAGGGGAGATGTGGGTCATGAGTTGGGGTGAGGTTTTAGAGGCAGGTTGAGAAAGAGTTTGTAAGCCCAATCCCACAGGCAGTAGGAGCCATGGAAAGATTTGATCTCACATGGTCAAATACTTCTACAGAGTTCATGGGAAAGATAAACTTAGAGGAGGAACTATGGCAGGGGCAGTCAACTCATTAGACTATAGTCTAGGCCAGTAGTTCTTAACCCTGAGTATACAATAAAATAATGTAAGTTGAGTTTAAAAAAAATACCAATGCAGCCCTGGCCAGTGTGGCTCAGTTGGTTGGCGCATTGACCTGCAAATCGAAAGATCATGGATTCGGCTCTTGGCCAGGGCACATGCATGGATTGCAGGTTTGGTTTCCAGTCAGGGCACCAACAAGAGGCAACTGATTGATGTTTCTCTCCCTACTCCCTCCCTTCCCTCTTCTCTAAAATCAGTAAGCATGTCCTCAGATGAGGCTAAAAGAATACCAGTGCACAAAGGAATATATAGAAATGGAAGTTGACATTAAAAGGATAAATCTAAATGACAAATGACTATAAACTAATATGTCTCTCGTGGTTAGAAATATATAAAGAACATAGTTTTAATACAACACAACAGTGACCTGTTGGTAGAGTAGAGCAGATCAAATGGTCTAGGTTCTTGTGTTAACTAGGATGAGGATAAAACTCCCAGTTCACCAGGCAACATGAGACTTAAAAGAGTGAATATAAGTATGGTAAAGTGTGTAAATAATGATAAAGTATTTTCAAGCAGTAGAAAGAAAACTAGTCTAACAAAGGATAATCCAAAATAAATTAAGAAAATAAGGGAAATAAAATAGGTATAACACCAGAAAGCATTTAGTAATATGGTAGATTTAGATCCAAATAAATCAGTAATTACATGTACTACATGCTCTAATTTTTTTAGATAAAAAATTAAACAGCTATGTGTACTTCACTAGAGAGAGGTCTAAAACTTTATCTCTTTATAGACAGAAGAAGGGGAAAGGAAAATGAACATCATACAAATTTTAACCAAAAGATAATGAGTAGCTATATTTTCTGTATATTAAAAATGTTAAGACAAAAAGCATTGTTAAGGATGAAGATGTACACTTCAAGTAATAGAATATATAGCAATCCAAATTTGTATGTTATGTAGTAGCTTCAGCAACTCATGGGTCAGAGAAGAAATAAAAAAGAAAATTAGAAAATATTTTTAACTGAATAACAATGTAAGTATGATATACCACAGCTCGTGCAAAGCAGCTAAAGTCATACTTAGAGTCAAAATTTATAGTCCTAGGCCCTGGCTGGTGTAGCTCAGTGGATTGAGCACGGGCCTGCAAACCAAAAGATGGCGGTTTGATTCCCAGTGAAAGCACATGCCTGGGTTGCAGGCCAGTTCCCAGCAGGGGATGCACCAGAAACAACCATACATTGATACTTCTCTCCTTCTCTACTTCCCTTCCCTTCCCTTCCCTTCCCTTCCCTTCCCTTCCCTTCCCTTCCCTTCTAAAGAGAAATTTAAAAAAATTGATAATCCTTAGAATTAGTATTAGCAGGGGAAAAAGGCTGAAAACCAATATTCTATACATTCATCTCAAAGAATAATTAAAGAGGAATAAAGTAACTAAACCAACAGAAAAATAGCATAAATGAGGAATTAATGAAATATAAAAATATTGGACGTTCTTACATTTTAAAATATTAAGAATGATAAATCATTACAAGGATGACCTAAGAGAATGAGAAGAGGCATAGAATGACTAAAATTAAAAATAACAATAAACCTGACACTAGAGAAGAAAGGGACATGGAATGACTAGAAAGAACATTCTACATTGCTGGAAGGAATGCAACATGATTCAAGCACTATGGCAGTTTCTTGTATATTTACCATATGTGTTAGTTTTCTATGGCTGCTCTAACAGGTTACCACAAACTTAGTGGATTAAAGTAACATTAGTCTTACAGTTTTAGGGGTCAGAAAGTTGACATGGGTCTCACAGGGCTAAAATCAAGATGTGGATAGGGCTTTGTTCTAGGCAAGAATCCCTTTCTTGGCCTTTTCTAGCTTCTGGAAACCTACATACCTTGGCCCATGATCCAACCTTTTTAAAAGATACCAATGGTGAGTTGAGTTCTCACACTGGATCAGTCTGACCTTTTCCGCTTCCTTGTTCTTCCACTTAACTGGGCCCACCTTAATAATCTTATTTGCTGAATAGCAACTTTAATTCCCCTTTGCCATGTAACCTAACATGTAGAGGGACCAGAGATTAAGATCTTTAGGGGAGTGACATTAGAGGAATGGTGGTGTGAGAGATCCCCTTGGTCTCTCCTCAACAAAGGAGTTCCTGTTCAACATACAGGCATGCCAAAGAGACCCATGCATTGAAGCATCTAAAGGTGGGCCAAGGGGAACAAACAAGAGGCAAGAAGGGAGGAGAGTCCAGCTGAATCACTGACATAGCCCCGCAGCCCAGAGTTTGCAGTGGACTCGGCTTGAAGAAGGGAGGAAGCTGGATGTGCTGATGATGCCTCCTTTGGCCATCAGGGAGAAGCAGCGTCTTGGTGGACCTTTCTGCAGGAGTGAGCTGTATGAACTGCTGGTGAGAGGCCTGAGCAAGGACACAGTGCAGGGGTTCTGCAATGATTGTTGTCTGTCAGGTAGTCATTGTTCCAAACAAAGAAATGGAGCCACTGAGCCCTGATGCCTTTTAGACTACCAAAACTCACTTCCTGTGGTCCTTGTTATCGGGTTCCAGAGCACATTGTCTCCAAACCCAAGAACTATTATATCAGAATTACTGTATCCCTCTGTGACTGTTACCTTGTTGGGATTCACAGCAGTGGAACCAGTGGAGGCCTGAAGTTGCCATTACTGAGAGGGTAAAACAAATTCCACCCCTAGCATCACAGTTATACTAATGACAACCATGTGGGTCAGCTTTGGGATTTTACAAAGCTTCATAAAACTCTTGATTCAGTGCCACCTACTGGAAAATAGTAAAAAGACTTCTTTGTAGAAATCTACTGAAGTACAGTTAATACATGGATGCCTAGACAGAGATGGAGCCCATCATATACCATGAATAACCAAGGTAGCAAGGCAGCTCAGAAAGAAAATAAAAAATCTCCAGCAAGTGAACTGGAACACATGGAAATCAGTGATATATGTGACAGCATTCAAGTTTGCAATTCTTAAAATACTCAATGAGATGGGAGAATATGCAAACAGGCAATTTGATCCACTAAGAAAAATTAATGAACAAAATACCAAATAGATTGAAACTTTAAAAAAGAACCAAATAAATCCTAGAAATGAAGTATTCAATAAAGAAGATCAGGTATGAACCACTGAGTCTAGCAAACAGCCAGTCAGATGGAGGAAAGAATTATGATATTGAAGAGAGGAATCTAGAAATGTTGCAGAGGGAGGAAGAGAGATACCTGAGCATAAAAAAAAAAATGAAAGAGCTCTGCAAGAATTGTCTGACTCCATCAGAAAGAGCAATATAAGAATAATAGGCATACCAGAAGAAGAATAGGAAAAGGAAACAGAGAGCCTATTCAAACAAATACTAGATGAGAACTCCCCAACCAGTGGAAAGAACTAGATCCTCAAATCCAAGAAAGAAACAATACCTAGTTACCTTAATCAAAAGAGGCCCTCTCTAAGGCACATTTTGTTAAAACTCAAAAATAATGACAAATTCTCAAAGCAGCCAGGGGGAAAAAAAGATAGTGACCCACAAAGTAAATTCCATTAGGTTATTATTGGACTTTTCAGGAGAAACTCTATAAGCCAAAAGAGAGGGGGACCAAATACTCAAAATACTGAAAGAAATTACCAGCCAAGAATAATATGCCCAGCAAAGTTATCCTTTAAATATGAAGGAGGAATAAAGACCTTGCCAGACATCCAGAAGCTGAGGGAATTTATCACTAGAAAATCTGAGACAACAAAAAGCCACAACATTATGAATGAGATGACCAAAGAAACAGCATAAACAGATAATTTGTGACAACAAAAACAAAAGGGGTGAGGCAAAGGCTTGAACTGGCAAAGGAGAATGGAAATAGATGCACTAAAAATTAACAAACTATGGTTTATATTCAACTTTGTAATAAAGGTAACCACACACAAAAACCCCAAATCAGACACATAACTTAAGAGGAAACAGAATAGAAGTATGGAATACTACCAAACAAAATGGACAAACACAAAGGAAAATAACCAGTTTTCTGGGACAGAGATACCAGAAAACAAAGGATAAAATGGTTATAGGCAATCCTCATCAATAGTAACCCTAAATGTAAATGGACTGAATTCATCAATAAAGGGGTACAGAGAACAGATTGGGTCTGAGAACAAACCCAACAATATTCTGCCTTCAGGAGACATCTAAGCTGCAAAGACAGTGGTAGATTTAGAAAGTGAAAGGGTGGAAAGTAATTCTCCAAACAAATAACATCCACAGAAAAATAGGTGTAGCCATATTTGTAGCCAATATGTAGCCATATTTGGCAGATACATATGTATCTGCCAAACATATGTAAAGATAGCAAGGGTAACAGGAGAGAAAGATGGTGGAAATTTTATGATAAAGGGATACTACATCAAGAAGACATCATACATCTTAATATATATGCCTCCAATCATGGAGTACTGAAATATGTAAAGCAACCGCTAACAGAAGTAAAGAAAGAAACAGACACAAAAAAGGTCATAGCTGGGGATCTTAATACTCAATTGACAGCTCCAGATAGATCATTTAAACAGAAAATCAAGAAAGAAATATCAGCCTTAAATGATCCATTAGATCAAATGGACATAATTGGTATGAACATAGGTTCTTTGAAATTGATGTTTTAGGATTCTTAGTATATAATCCTACCAGTGGAAATGCTGGGTCAAAAGGCAGGTCGATTTTTATTTTTCTGAGAAAATTCCATACTGTTTTCCATAATGGTTGTATCAGTCTGCAATCCCACCAACAGTGAACTAGGGTCCCCTTTTCCCCACACCCTCTCCAATATTTGTTGTTTGTTGCTTTGTTTATGATAGGCATCTTGACTGGTGTAAAGTGGTATCTCATTCTGGTTTTAATTTGCATCTCTCTGATGGCTAGCAATATTGAGCATCTCTTCATGTGTCTCTGGATATTCTGTATGTCCTCCTTAGAGAAGTGTCTGTTCAAGTCCTTTCCCCATTTTTTAATTGGGTTATTTGTATTCTTAGTGTGGAGTCATGTAAGTTCTTTGTATATTTTGGAGATTAAAACTTTGTCTGTGGTATCATTGGCAAATATATTTTCCCATACAGTTGGTTGTCTTGCTAATATGATCTCACCTTTAACAGGAAGTTAAACAACAAAACAATCAAGCAAGCAGAATAAAAACAAAGACACTGAAATAGAGAACAAGGGGACAGTGACCAGAGGGGAGAGGGGAGGGAATTTAAGGGGAAAATAGGGGAGGGAATTGGAGGAACAAGTATGAAGGACACAAGGACAAGAACTAATGGGGGTGGAAATGGGAGGGAGGTGGGGAGCATGGGGTGCAGTGGGCTGGGATGGGAGAAATAGAAAACTGTACTTGGAAAATAAATAAAATACAAAAAATGTCACTCAAAAAAACAATGGGTGTAATTGGCATATACAGAGCCTTTCATCTCAGAACATCATATTGTACATTCTCCAGTGCACATGAAACATTCTCAAGGATAGGCCATATGTTGGGTCACAAAGCTAGCCTCAAAAAAACTCAAAAACAATGAAATTTTACCAAGCACATTTTCTGATCAAAATGCCTTGAAATTAGAAGTCACCTGCAAAAAGTAAAGAATCTCATAAATAGTACTGGTTAAAACAACATACTACTAAAAAATTATTGGGTCAAGGAAGACAAAAGGTGCGATCAAAACATATATAGAGACAAATGACATATATAGAGACAAAAAAAACAAAGAGACAAATCACTTCTGGGATGCAGTGAAGGCAGTAATAAAAGAAGTTTATATCATTACAGGCCTATTTCAAAAAATGAGAAATCACAAGTAAACATCCTAAGATTACATCTTAAATACCTAGAAAATGAACAAATGCAACCCAAGGTCAGCAAGAGAAAGGAAATAATAAAAATTAGAACAAAATTGAATGAAATAGGGAACAAAAAGACTATAAAAATTGATATAACAAAGAGCTGGTTCTTTGAAAAAATCAAATTAACAGCCCCCTTGGTAGATTCATTAAGGAAAAAAGAGAAAAGACCCATATGTACAAAATTAGAAACAAAAGAGAAGTTACCACAGACATTACAGAGACATAAAGGATCATACTGTGAAAGATTATATGCCGACAAATTCAATAACCTAGAAGAAATGGAAAAGTTCCTAGAAGTGTATAACCTTCCTATACCAAATCATGAAGAACTGGAAAATCTAAATAGACTGATCAGCAATGAGGAAATTGGAGCAACCATTAAAAATTTTCCCAGAAATGAAAGTTCAGGACCAGACTGCTTTACCAGTGAATTCTACTAAACATTTAAAGATTTGAAACCTATTCTTCCAACTCTTCGAAGGAATCAAAGAGGAGGCAATACTTCCTTATCACATTTTGAAGCCAACATAACCCTGATGCCAAAATCTGGCAAGGATAACACACACACACACACACACACACACACACAGAAAATTAAATACCAATCTGTTGAATACAGATGCAAAAATCCCAAACAAAATACTAGCAAATTGAACAGAACAATATATTTAAAAAATAATATATCACCATCAAGTGGGGCACAAGGATGGTTTAACATGTGCAAGTCAGTCAATGTAATGCACCACATTAACAAAACAAAGGATAAAAGTCATATAATTTTATCAGAATATGTAGAAAAAGCATTTAATAAGATACAATTTCCATTTATGATTAAAACAAATAGGAATAGAAGAAAAGTACCTCAACATAAAGGCCATATATGACAAGCCCTTAGCCAATATGCTCCATGGCAAAAAGCTGAAAGATTCTCCTTTAAAATCAGGAACAAGACAAGGATGCCCATTCTCACCACTCTTACTCAACATAGTTCTGGAAGTGCTAGTCAGAACAAAAAGGCAAGAGAAGGAAATAAAAGGCATATCATTTTGGAAGGAAGAAGTAAAAGTGTCACTTTTGCAGAGGACATGATTCTGTACATAGAAAATGACCAGAGGGTAGGGAGAAGTGGGTAAGCAGGGAAAGAAGGGAAGAATCTAGGCAAGAAACAGGTATAAATGACCTATGGACATGGACAACAGAGTAGGGATTGACTGTGGGAGTGGGGGGTGGTCAGGACAGGGAAGAACAATGGGGGAAGTGGGACAACTACAATGGAACAATAAATAAAATATTTTTAAAAAACTAAAAGAGGAAAAATTTACACTCTCCATGAAAAAAAAACTTAGAGACAATAAACAAATACAATAAAGTTGCAAGATACAAAATCAATGTACAAGAATAAACTGCTTTTCTATATACTAACAATGAAACTTCTGAAAAAGAAAATTTAAAAATTCCCTTTGTGACTGCATCCACAAAAATAAAATACCTGGTTAAAAAAAACTTAACAAAGGATGTGAAAGATCTATGTAATGAAACCTACACAACCTTATTAAAAGAGAATGAAAAAGATACAATGAGATAGAAAGACAGTCTGTGTTCATGGGTTGGGAAAATCAACATAATTAAAATGGCCATATTACCTAAAGCAATATACAGATTTAATGCAATCCCCATCAAAATCCCAATGTTATTTTTTAAAGAATAGAACAAAAAAATATTAGATTTATATGGAGCCACAAAAGACCCTAAGTAGACAAAACAATTCTGAAAAAAAAATGAGGTATCACACTACCTGACTTCAAATTATACTATAGAGCCACAATAACCAAAACAGCTTGGTTCTGGCAGAAAAAACAGGCACACAGATCAATAGAACAGAATTAGGAGCCTAGATATGAAGCCACATGTACATGGGCAGATAATTTATGACAAAGAAGCTGGAAACAGACAATGGAGAAAAGAAAGCCTCTTCAATAAATGGTGCTAGGAAAATTGGAAAACCATATGCAAAAGAATGAAACTAGATTACAGTTTGTTCTTGTGCACAAAAATTAATTCAAAGTGGATCAAGGGCCTAAATATAAGATCTGAAACACTAAATTACATAGAAGAAAACATAGAAAGTAAAGTTATGAACCTTGGTTGTGCAGAACATTTTATGAATTTTGACCCCAAAGGCAAGGGGAGTAAAGGCAAAAATAAATGAATGGCACTATCTCAAACTAAAAGGCTTCTTCACAGGAAAAAAAAAAGAATATTTACAAACAACAGCTCCAACAAATGTTTAATATCCAAAATATATATAAAGAACTCAAAACTTCACACCAAACAATCCAATTGAAAAATGGGCAGAAAACCTGACCAGACATCTTTCTCAAGAAGACATATAAATGGCAAACAGATACATAATATGTTCAACCTCACTAGCTATTAGGGAGATACAAATCAAAACTATAATGTGATACCACCTTATACCTGTTAGAATAGCTGTTATCAACAAGACAAGTAATAACAAGTGTTGAAAAGGATGGGAAGAAAAGGGAACCCTCATTCACTGCTGGTGGGAATGTAGACTGGTACAGCCACTATGGAAAATAGTCTGATGGTTCCTCAAAAAATTAAGAATAGAGTTACAATATGACCCAGCTATCCCTCTCCTGGGTGTCTGATGCAAACTCCGCCCAGCGGGGTCTGTGTGTTGTGGATATGATTAACAAATCCACACAGACTGCAGAAATCTTGTGGAGAAAAAGGGATGGCATGGCCACTCTCTGAGTGAGAGAGTGCCCCAGCCCTGCCTAGACAGGATTTTATTGATTTTCTAGGAGCATTACCTCAAGGAAGGTCCTCATTCATCATTGTCAGGCAGTAATGATCAAACAATAGGTAACATTCAAAGAACTATGAGGGCTTATTCTGAGTCAGGGTCAGTTAGCTAAAGGGCCATAAAACTTTGGGAAACAAACTCATTTCATGCTTGGACCCTTATCCAAAAATTGAAGACATTCTTAGCAAAGCAGATTTCACAGGATTTTATGCATTCTTTCTTAGGCCTGATCACCCTGAGGAACTACCTGTTCCTGCCCAGGGCTGCAGACCCTCCAGCGTTGTTCCAGGCTTAAGTCAAGCAGTGGTAGTAAGGCAGCCTAGAGATTAGGAGACTTGACAGAATGAGTACTCAGGCTATGTCAAAGCCAAGGCATGAAGGTCCATAACCCCCTTTTTCTATAGTCCCCCAAGTCCTTCCCTGATGTTCCCATTGCCACCATGCCCGTCTTAGGTCGTCCCTCCCTTGAGGAATCTTATCTGTCATTGGCTAACCAGTCATCCACCTGGGGCCAAGCAGGGTGAAGTAAAAGGGGGCAGAGGCGGCTCTCCTACCAGGAAGATAAACTTTGTCTCCTTATTGGCTTATGGTCCCAAGGTCCTTTACTCTACCTTAGCCATGGGGTATTATATCTTCTGAAACCAGGCAGGGTGGTTCCCAACAGGTATCTACCTGAAAACATAAAAACATGTGTTTTCAAATATATATGCACCTCTATGTTCATTGCAGCATTATTCAGTGGCCAAAAAGTGAATTTTGGCCGTCGAAGTGTTCTGCAATAAAGGATTAGATAAAGAAGATGTGGTACATATATACAATGGAATATTATTCAATCACAAGAAAAGACTAAATATTGCCATCTGTGACAACATAGGTGGATCTTGTGAATATTATGCTAAGTGGAATAAGCCAGAAGTAACTAAGAACCGTAATATTTCCCTCATATGTGGGATATAAAACTGAAACTCATGGATACAGCAATGTGGTGGTTGCCAGAGGGAAGATGATGGCAGAGGTGGAGGAGGCCTATTGTGGTGATGGAATATGATTCAACTGTAGGTTGTGGTCACACAGTGCAATACACAGGTCTAGTAGTATCATAGAAATGTACACTTGAAATCTGTATGATCCTGTCAACCAACGTCACCCCAATCAATTTAATTTAAAATATTTAAGGAGACATTGTTCTGCCTATTATGCCATACAACTGAGCAATTTCGGTCCTAAAAAGTGCATTGAAGATAAATGAAACCATTTGTTCACAAATACTGTACTTAAATATTTATAAGTTTTTTTCATAACCGAACTTGAAACAACCAAAATGTCCATTAACTGATGAACACATAAACAAGTAG